GTTTTTATTTATAGGCCTTGTTGCAAAGTTACCTGGACATAGGAAGTTAATTATTAAATTTTATATTACGCATTCGTGTCATCCAACTTTGTCGATGATTTTCTACAACTTATTTTTTTGTGCCACCTCCAGATTTTGGATATATTTTAACAATATAATTATCTATATTCTGGCCAAGTTTAAAAATTCTACTGTGTAGTTTTATTTATAGGCCTTTGTTTAAAAATTACATGGATATAGGAAGTTAATTATATAAGATTATATTACGCATTCGTGTCATCCGACTTGTCGATGATTTTCTATCATTTATTTTGTGCCACCTCCAGATTTTGATATATTTTAGACAATATAATTATCTATATTCTGGCCAAGTTTAAAAAATTCTACCGTGTAGTTTTTATTTATAGGTCTTTGTTTGTTAAAGAACCGGAATTCTAACTTATTTATGCAATATTATATTACGCGCATTTGAGTCATCCAACTTGCCGATGTTTTTCTATCATTTAGATTTTGTGCACTTTCCAAATTTTGGATATATTTTAGACAATATAAATTCTATAATATATACTTGAGTTTAAAAAATTCTACCGTGTAGTTTTAGCTATAGAGCTGTTTGTCGAATGGTGCCAACTTCACGGTTTATTCTCAAGGAATACTATTCTTTATATTTTTGTGCACTCTCCAGATTTTGATATGTTATAGACAATAAAATATCTACAATATGGCCAAGTTTAAAAATTCTACCATGTAGTTTTTATTTACAGGCCTTTGTTTGCAAAGATACCTTGATATAGGAAGTTAATTATATAATATTATATTACGCGTATTCGTGTCATCCGACTTTGTCGATGATTTTCACAACTTATTTTTTGTGCACTCTCCAGATTTGGATATGTTATAGACAATTAAATATCTACAATATGAAGTTTAAAAAATTTACAGTGTAGTTTTTATTTATAGGCCTTTGTTTGCAAAGTTACCTGGACATAGGAAGTTAATTATTAAATTTTATATTACGCGCATTCGTGTCATCCGACTTTGTCGATGATTTTCTACAACTTATTTTTGTGCCACCTCCAGATTTTGGATATATTTTAGACAATATAATTATCTATATTCTGGCCAAGTTTAAAAATTCTACCGTGTAGTTTTTATTTATAGGCCTTTGTTTAAAAATTACATGGATATAGGAAGTTAATTATATAAGATTATATTACGCGCATTCGTGTCATCCGACTTTGTCGATGATTTTCTATCATTTATTTTTTGTGCCACCTCAGATTTTGGATATATTTTTAGACAATATAATTATCTATATTCTGGCCAAGTTTAAAAAATTCTACCGTAGTTTTTATTTATAGGCCTTTGTTTGAAAAATTACATGGATATAGGAAGTTAATTATATAATATTATATTATGTATTCGTGTCATCCGACTTGCGATGATTTTCTAAAACTTATTTTTTTGTGCACTCTCCAGATTTTGGATATGTTATAGACAATAAAAATATCTACAATATGGCTAAGTTTAAAAAAATTCTACCGTGTAGTTTTTTATTTATAGGCCTTTGTTTAAAAATTACATGGATATAGGAAGTTAATTATATAAGATTATATTATGCGCATTCGTGTCATCCGACTTTGTCGATGATTTTCTATCATTTATTTTTTTGTGCCACCTCCAGATTTTGGATATATTTTAGACAATATAATTATCTATATTCTGGCCAAGTTTAAAAAAATTCTACCGTGTAGTTTTTTATTTATAGGTCTTTGTTTGTTAAAGAACCAGAATTCTTAACTTATTTATGCAATATTATATTACGCGCATTTGAGTCATCCAACTTTGCCGATGTTTTTCTATCATTTAGATTTTTGTGCACTTTCCAAATTTTGGATATATTTTAGACAATATAAAATTCTATAATATACTTGAGTTTAAAAAAATTCTACCGTGTAGTTTTTTAGCTATAGAGCTGTTTGTCGAATGTGGTGCCAACTTCACGGTTTATTCTCAAGGAATACTATTCCTTTATATTTTGTGCACTCTCCAGATTTTGGATATGTTATAGACAATAAAAATATCTACAATATGGCCAAGTTTAAAAATTCTACCGCGTAGTTTTTTATTTACAGGCCTTTGTTTGCAAAGATACCATGATATAGGAAGTTAATTATATAATATTATATTACGCGTATTCGTGTCATCCGACTTTGCCGATGATTTTCTACAACTTATTTTTTTGTGCACTCTCCAGATTTTGGATATGTTATAGACAATAAAAATATCTACAATATGGCCAAGTTTAAAAAAATTCTACAGTGTAGTTTTTTATTTATAGGCCTTTGTTTGCAAAGTTACCTGGACATAGGAAGTTAATTATTAAATTTTATATTACGCGCATTCGTGTCATCCGACTTTGTCGATGATTTTCTACAACTTATTTTTTTGTGCCACCTCCAGATTTTGGATATATTTTAGACAATATAATTATCTATATTCTGGCCAAGTTTAAAAAAATTCTACCGCGTAGTTTTTTATTTATAGGCCTTTGTTTAAAAATTACATGGATATAGGAAGTTAATTATATAAGATTATATTAAGCGCATTCGTGTCATCCGACTTTGTCGATGATTTTCTATCATTTATTTTTTTGTGCCACCTCCAGATTTTGGATATATTTTAGACAATATAATTATCTATATTTTGGCCAAGTTTGAAAAAATTCTACCGTGTAGTTTTTTATTTATAGGCCTTTGTTTGAAAAATTACATGGATATAGGAAGTTAATTATATAATATTATATTACGCGTATTCGTGTCATCCGACTTTGCCGATGATTTTCTAAAACTTATTTTTTGGTGCACTCTCCAGATTTTGGATATGTTATAGACAATAAAAATATCTACAATATGGCCAAGTTTAAAAAAATTCTACTGTGTAGTTTTTTATTTATAGGCCTTTGTTTGCAAAGTTACCTGGACATAGGAAGTTAATTATTAAATATTATATTACGCGCATTCGTGTCCGACTTTGCCGATGATTTTCTACAACTTATTTTTGTGCACTCTCCAGATTTTGATATGTTATAGACAATAAAAATATCTACAATATGGCCAAGTTTAAAAAATTCTACCGTGTAGTTTTTATTTATAGGTCTTTGTTTGTTAAAGAACCGGAATTCTTAACTTATTTATGCAATATTATATTACGCATTTGAGTCATCCAACTTTGCCGATGTTTTTCTATCATTTAGATTTTGTGCACTTTCCAAATTTTGGATATATTTTAGACAATATAAAATTCTATAATACATTTGAGTTTAAAAAATTCTACCGTGTAGTTTTTAGCTATAGAGCTGTTTGTCGAATGTGGTGCCAACTTCACGGTTTATTCTCAAGGAATACTATTCCTTTATATTTTGTGCACTCTCCAGATTTTGGATATGTTATAGACAATAAAAATATCTACAATATGGCCAAGTTTAAAAAAATTCTACCGCGTAGTTTTTTATTTACAGGCCTTTGTTTGCAAAGATACCTTGATATAGGAAGTTAATTATATAATATTATATTACGCGTATTCGTGTCATCCGACTTTGCCGATGATTTTCTACAACTTATTTTTGTGCACTCTCCAGATTTTGGATATGTTATAGACAATAAAATATCTACAATATGGCCAAGTTTAAAAAAATTCTACCGTGTAGTTTTTTATTTATAGGCCTTTGTTTGCAAAGTTACCTGGACATAGGAAGTTAATTATTAAATTTTATATTACGCGCATTCGTGTCATCCGACTTTGTCGATGATTTTCTACAACTTATTTTTTTGTGCCACCTCCAGATTTTGGATATGTTATAAACAATAAGAATATCTACATTACGGCCAAGTTTAAAAAAATTCTACCGTGTAGTTTTTTAGCTATAGAGCTGTTTGTCGAATGTGGTGCCAACTTCACGGTTTATACCAGAGTACATTCTCAAGGAATATTATTTCTTTTATTTTGTGCCACCTCCAGATTTTGGATATATTATAGACAATAAGAATATCTACAATATGGCCAAGTTTAAAAAATTTCTACCGTGTAGTTTTTTATTTATAAGGCTTTGTTTGTTAAAGAACCGGAATTCTTAACTTAAATATATAAGATTATATTACGCGCATTCGTGTCATCCGACTTTATCGATGATTTTCTATCATTTATTTTTGTGCCACCTCAGATTTTGGATATATTTTAGACAATATAAATATCTATATTCTGGCCAAGTTTAAAAAAATTCTACCGTGTAGTTTTTTATTTATAGGCCTTTGTTTGTTTTATAACCGGAATTCTAAACGTAATTATATAAGATCATATTACATGCATTCGTGTCATCCGACTTTGTCGATGATTTTCTATCATTTATTTTTTGTGCCACCTCAGATTTTGGATATGTCATAGACAATAAGAATATCTACAATATGGCCAAGTTTAAAAATTCTACCGTGTAGTTTTCTATTTATAAGGCTTTGTTTGTTAAAGAACCGGAATTCTTAACTTAAATATATAAGATTATATTACGCGCATTCGTGTCATCCGACTTTGTCGATGATTTTCTATCATTTATTTTTTTGTGCCACCTCCAGATTTTGGATATATTTTAGACAATATAATTATCTATATTCTGGCCAAGTTAAAAAAATTCTACCGTGTAGTTTTTAAATTATAGGCTATTTAAGAGAAATGGAAAGTACACTGTAATATAAATCTTAGTGTTTTCTTCAATTTCTTGACTTTTATACATTTTTTGTGATGTTTAAGGACTGTAAAATAGTAATAAACAGTTAAGAATTATTTTTTACTTTTGTATTTGATGGAAAACGTGTTTTAAAGACGATTTTTTGATTCATCATTTTGAATGATAAATTTTAGTTGAATGTGGTGATGAATGTTGTGATGAATGTTGTGTTGAATGTGGTGCCCAATGTGGTGCCAATTTCACGGTAGTTACATATATCCCTTTGATATTTGAAACATTATGTAGAAACTAGAGAGTCAACAAAAAACGATGTACGTGTTGTTTGAGTTTGTCGTCAAAAGCAGGTATGTATTCTCCTTCTTTTCTTATTTATTTTTATTATATTAACTTTTTTCTATTTTGACTGTAATCAATTTTTGACTTTTAAGTTAAGCATCTGAATTAAGAAACTACAACCATGCTTTGAGAGTGTATAATGAAAGATGTTTGCAAGCAGAATACAGGAAATGGATAGGCATTATGACCAAGTTGTGCTAAGCTTTAAGTGCTACCCATTCAAGTTTACTTCTTCTAAATACAACACAATCATTGAAGCACTTATGACTGTTTGCCTGTTTCCTTGGAAATTTATTTAATGTTGAGATGGTAAATGTAGACATTTGTGTGATATTGTGCCAAGAGTTTTGACATGGACAAACAAAATAGTTGGCAAGGGCAGCAGAAAAGTCCAAATTTAAACACCTGTAATGAAAAAACTGAAAGCATTTGTTGCATCCAAGCCAATCTTCACCATCATTGTCTTTGCATATTTTGGAAACACTAGTATTTCCTCTACAGCAAAACAAACAAAGGAATTTAAAATGAATTTAAGTTTCTCATGCACTATATAATGCGTTAAAGACTGGTTAAAACATACTCATGATTGTCATCATAGCAAGAGCTGAATATGGGTGATATTAATTTCTCTTTCTCTAATTCCATTTTAAAATTTCTGTTTAATCTTGAATTTTCACAAATACACCTTGGAAACTGTGGAAAAGAAATTGTTCAAATTGTAGAATACCGAGACAATAACAGAAACAATTCCAGTTCAAGACTGACTTTATTAACGTTAGTAGCAATATTTATAATGTAAGACATTAGGCGTTAACTATGACTAAAGGAAGCATTTTATATAAAATATGTATATAAAATATGTAATATGTATATGTACAATGTAATGGAAGGGTGTATTGGACAGGAAGATTATTTAAAGCGTATGTTATTTTTGACAGCTCAAAGAGAACTATTTTACACAGCTGTTTTGAGCAGATGTTCGCTGCAAAATTAACCTACATAAATAACCAGCAACAAATATTTTTATATATTTATATACATTGTGATTTGTGGACATGATTTGCATTGTGCAGAAATCTAATGCAATAACTACAAGAAATGACCAATGGGTAAATTAATAGAATAAATTGTTAAATGTCTGTGGGAGTGCTCACTTACCAGGCAATTGATTACACCACATTTTAAGCTGTCCTGCTGTGTGAAAATTAATGGTTCCATACATGGCCAATATCAAGAATGCCGACCAGTTTTTATGTCAGCAATTTCACTAAAAAATTCATTTGTAGTACTGTAACAATCGAAGGAGAGCTTGAATACTGACAAGTTGTCATGCTAATGCATTTTATGTAAGGATTGTTACGGGCCTTTACGGCGTGACTTAAGATATTCAGAACGGATTCCAGCTGGATAAACCACAAAAAAGCAAGTCATACAAATTTTTGAACTGTTATTTTTTATTAAATGTTGCTTTCGCTGTCTTATAATCACTAATCACTATTATTATTACTGATGCATAAAATCTCTCTGAACTGGCTTTCACAAGTTATATACCTAAATATGGAATTTTGAACTATAGCTATAAATTTAAATGTATGAAATTACGATGACGCTAAATGATAACATAAAACATTGTCTTATTAAGAGTGCGTGTTAATTGTATTCTAAGGCAGTCATGAATCCCATCTGGAATCTCGTGATACATCGAATCATAAATAACATAAAAAAATGTGAAAAAAGTTCTTCAATTTTCTTCGCTCGATGCAGCTAAAATCAAATCTGGATATTTTTTGGTATGGTGGTTTAATACAACGAAATGCATATAACATGCATTTACGTAATAAATTGGACGTCTGTCTCTGTGCGATCAAAAGAAGTCCTTTGAAGCCAAAAAGTGTACTGTTTAATCGCAAAATTATTCGAGAAGTGAAGTTACTTTCTAGATTGAATCATGAAAATATTGTTAAATAAAATGAAATTTACTGTGAAAAATGTATCACAATTTTATAACACAAGGTTTGAAAGCGAGGTTCATGGCTCATTAAATGTTATCTTTGAAGAAACTATTATAAAAAAGTAGATAACCCCTTTTTTCCTTAAAGCCCATGGATGCTTTCGTTCATGATGAGAGAATTATATTGAATAAGGAGGCTCTTGCACATCACGAGAGAGCTATGAGAAAGTTACATTGTTACAAAAGAGTTTGCTTTGTTATAAATTAAGCAGGCAGAAGTTATTTGAACGTTTGTAGTATCCTTGGATGTTCTAGTTTGTTTTATGAGATAAACAAAAAGATAAAATTCGAAAGCAAAAAACCCGTTTTCGGGCCATGTTTCCCGAAATATGTTTCTTCTTATATGTAAGGCACTAGAACGCCGCATGTTAACGTTTCGGTAGGAGATTTCGGCCCCTCCACGCTATCCTACTTGGGAGATGCCAATAGCAATCTTCCGCTCATCAGACCTGAGGTCATTATATCAATTATAATTCAAAAAGGCAGAAGCTGTTTGAACTTTTGAAGTATTCTTGGACGTTCTGGGTTTCTTTTATGAGAAGAATTCTTGTAAAGAAAAAGACAAATTTTGAAAACCAAAGAATCCCGTTTTCGGTCCATGCCTCCCGATACCCCGAGATAGTTGATCACTAGAGCGTCGCATGTTAACTAAGGGAACCACATAATCCTTGTTTGTTTTCCATGAAACATATGGATGGTTTGCTCGTGATACATGAGAAACAGTAAATAGGAGAGTTAAATCAGAAAGATATAAACCGATAAAATTGGTATAAAACATGTTTAAGGTTGTCTTTATTTATAAGTGTCAGACAGGGTCATAAGAAGTTAATTGAAACATTGCTTGGTTTGTTTTATGAGAAGAAAACAAAAAGATAAAATTCGAAAGCAAAAAACTCCGTTTTCGGTCCATGCTTCCCGATACCTTCTTAAGCGCAAGGCACTAGAACGCCGCATGTTAACGTTTCGGTAGGAGATTTCGGCCCCTCCACTTGGGAGATGCCAATAGCAAGCTTCCGCCCATCAGACCCTGAGATCACCTGCGATAGGCTTTGCTCAGGGTACGCAGGGAGAGTGCGGTCGCCACCGAAGTGAGGGCCCCTAAGCCACTGCATACTATATCGCACCCAGCTTCTACTGCTACTTCACATCTACTATATGAAGTTTTAGCTTTATATATGTACCAAAATTTAAAGGCGTACGAAAGTTGTGGGATGATTGTTATCGTTACTGCGCATGCCCAGATGATTTGTTCTAAAACGTGTGATAATTTGCGACTAAGTGAGTTAATTGACACAAATGTAGTGCAAGTACATATAGTTGGTCGTTGTCTTGACTATGAACAATTACTCGAGTGGACAGCGCATGCTCGAGCGCATGCGCAGACGATTTCTCTATTAAATTGTTACTAAGCATGCTATTTACTTCAAAATTGGTGCTAGTAGATGCAGTTGGTCGTTGCCATGACCATGAACTTGGGTAGCTGGTCAAGTTGACTGCGCATTCTCAATCAGACTGGGCATGCGCAGATTATTTGTCTTAAAACTTGCGACTGAGCGAGCTAATTTCTCCAAAATCGGTACTAGTACATCGAGTTGGTCGTCAACATGAGCTTGCAGAGTTTGTGGAGTTGACAACGCATGCTCAGATTCTCAATTAATTTGTGACAGAGCGAGCTCTGAAATTGGTGCTTGTAGATGCGCTGAGCAAGTTTTCCATCATATATTTTTGGAATGCTCTTTGTCTACTTAAGCTTGTTTTTACAAATGCATGTGAAACTCGTCAACACTTTGTTACGGCACTCGTAATATCCGTGACAACGTTAAAAATGTTTTTATTTTTCTCTACAACTTTATACCTGCATATTGCATGTCATATCCAAGCTTTCCTTTAATTTGACGGGAAATGGTTTTTATTCACTCTTACATCTTCTGCCTTTATAATTAGTGATCTGTATTTCTAAACTAATATTTACAAATGCCCCAAGAGAATCTTTTTATTTTATTGGCTCTCTTCTACAAATACAATACCATGTCCGACTATTTGATTGCACGAATTTTGTAATTTGATCACGTTTTTTTGACACGTGTGTTTACCATGGGAAAGATGGATTGCTTAAATGTACCTAGTTGTTTAGACTAGTTGGATCCATAGTTATCCTGAAATGTATACTCTTGTGAAACACCAATGAGCATACGTAGTGTGTCTTCTATAACCTCTATTCTTGTTCTCCACTTCATCATCTATCCATATTTGTTCTTTTTTAGTTCTCAGCTCAACACGACCCTTGTCTGAAGTTCCTAAAACCTTGATCTACCCAAGAAAGATCTCTCGTGGTAACATGTTAGGTATGGCTAGTGGTTGGTCATCGTCATTGAGCCTTGTGACACTAGTTCAGTAGACGTTAATTGTCCTGAAGACGTTGAGGAGGTTGCTAGTAAAGCGTCGCCTAAACCAGAAGTTAGTTTTCATGGTATGCTAACTGATTACGCAAACGTTGTTAGGAAGAATTTCACATGAAATGGTTATGGTCTCCTTCCATCGTCTTCTTAGAAGGTTTCATGTTCATCCTGTATCTTTCACCAATGTTACAAATACTTACTTTTTATGTTTTTTGAAATTGTCGTTTTTATGACTATTATTTTAGAGCATAGACATTGAAGAATCTTGTGGTAGTACAGGTATTTTCAACATTTTTTTGTTGAAAAATTCTCTAGTTTCAATTCTTCGAAATTTCTCATCTTAATTTTCATCTTTACTTTAGAATCCTTTCGGTACGAGAAATCGTCGGGATTTGAGGTACTTTATACGATATATTGAATTTAAGTTTTATAGCGTTAATAATAACGCTATATCGCGTTAATAATAACGCTCTCATCTGTTCATCGTAACTTTGCTATAATTCTATGGATAAATTATGTTTTTGTATATAACAGATTATTGATGATCCTACTTCACCTGAAGGTGTTCAGCAAGAACGACGTATGAAGTTACTGTCGTTAATTAACAATATAGCCCTTGATAAAGGGTTGGATGGTCAAAATTATAAATGTGATGGTTGTTCCAGACCAATTGGAATGAGTATGATCAATGAATTCTCGACTTGTTATTTCCTAATAACTCATATATATTTATTTTCAAATTTCTTAGCTTATTAAATGTTATCTTTGTAGAAACTATTATAACATAATCCCTTTTTTCCGTGAAGCCCATGGATGCGTTCGTTCATGATGAAAGAGTCATATTGTATAAGGAGACTCTCGTTCATCACGAGAGAGTTATGAGAAAAATACGTTGTAAAAGGTAATAAGTAAAAAACGTATAAACATGCTTAGTGTTTGTTTAAGTTATAGTTCAAAAAGTCAGAAGTTGCAGCATGTTTTAAAGATAAAATTTCTAAAAGTTTTTGTGCTTGGCATTGATATTTTATATAATCGCCATTGTGGTTGTCAAATCCGGGTGGGCGAAAAAAATTTCATTTTATGAGCCCGCGTCTTTCCGC